CCATCTTTGAAATATTATTTTCCTCTAGGAAATTAAATGCTGTTTATGATGCATTCACTTTTTTCTTTGAAAATGCTGCTTTGAAATAGCTTCTCATTATGAGCATAGTCTGAAAAAATAAAGCCACTGAAGCACAGAAATGGACATTTCTCATCCATGTCTTCCAGAACGCTTTGTGTCTGACAGTGTGATACAGTTGGGAAACCCATAACAAGCACTCCAGTGCTCCAGGGGATGTGCCTTGCAGCCTGGGAGGAAAAACTACTGTCATATGATCTTGATCCTTGTGTTTACACACTGCTTGCTTTTACATAGAACTATAAAATGACTTTCTCTCTCCAATACTAACTATAAGAAAATTTCATTGAGATCCAGGTGGAAAATGTATATCTATACATTGTGATTATCACATGTGAGATGGCAGATAAATTATTTTTCCTTAGCTTGATGTAACTGGGAACTCACTTGCTGTCATGGATAGAAACAGAGCCTTTGGTTTGTGGCATACAAGGATTTTATGTCTCTTCTTGGATAAAATCTGATACATGGGTATTTTATCCATCTGTCTTTGTAGACTGCTACTCATAGAACTCAGTCATATACTAGAAATATGTGTATGCATGTGTGAGTACATGTCTATATTGTATTTATAGAATCTAAATTTTGGTTATCTATTACAAACATCACTTTAAAGAAATGACTAAGTAAACTATGGAACTCACACTCCCACTTTGGCACTTAGAAAAAAAAATGTTAAAAAGGACTACATATTTAAAAGAGTATGACTTCAAGTAACATGGATGCTGGTCAATGGTGAGTTAAGACAACACAAAATCTCACATTGTCTTTCCTTCTATTCAAAGAACAGAGCTGGAGCACATAGCAGAAATTTTACTTCTGGCTTACGCTTAATTTTTTTTTTTTCTTTTGGTGGGGACCAGAGTCTGCAGGGTGTTCAGGGTCTCACTACTAGATGGGGCTCATAATGAGCCTCCTGTTTACAGCCTCCCAAGAGCTAGGATTACAGGCATGCATTACCATGCCCAGTCTCAATTGCCATCTCAGCATGTCCTGGGGGCAGGGCATGCACAGCAGGCCTGGGAATCAAACCCCCGGCCTCTGCTCCTACTTGCAGGTGCTTTAATTTGCTGAGCTATTTGGCTGGTCCTTTCTTTTTCATTTCAAGCATCACATATTAGAATACTTAAATGTCATTTTGACCATATGAAATTTCTTGAGTTAATAAAATTTCAGTCAACAAGCATGTTTTACTTGAGATCTATCTGTACTCTTGTCTGGATGTGCAAATGTTATGTACTAGTCCTTGGATGACAATCAGAGCATATCACCATATCTTTCAAAATTTAGCTTGCTCTTTACTTCTAAACTACTTATGAAACTTAAGAATTTAATTTTCTTATTTTAGTGCATAAGAAATGCCCATATATTTAATAAATTATGAAGTGTAGTACTAAAAAGTACAAGTTATATAATAACCCAAAACAACAATAAATCTTTTGTTGTATGTTTTCATATATTTTCTACATGTATTTTAACATAGTTGCAGGGTGTCAGGGAAATGGCTTAGTAAAATAAATGTTTTGTTGGCAACAGCAAGGGCCTGAGTTCAATCCCAGGTTCCTCCAAAAAATGAAATAAAATAAAAATAAAATAGTTGCAAATCTTGTAAAATATGAATAAAAAATTAAGATTCTACTTGAGCATTTTTATGTAACAGGCATGTTTTCTTGTTTTATTTAATCTTTATAAGTAGCATTAATATGAGGGCTTTATAGTGTTTGATATACCTGCCATTCAGTTCAAAACATAATTGAATGAGACATAATACAAACGCAACTTGAAACCAAAGAGTAAAAATACGTTGCAAAGATATTAATCAAAAACTCATTTAGTCTTACTCTTTGTGTACGTGTTGCTTCCTAGATAGTTATACCCATATCTCTTTGCATACAGATGTTGTCTGGTACCTGGGCACCTGTCTGCATTGTCATCCAGATGTATAAATGTTGTGTACTAGTTTGTGAAAGATAATTAAATGGAGCATATCATCCTGTACCTGATGAATAATTTTGTGGAGCTTTTAATAGTATCAGGGAATCAACACGCTAAGGAAACCGTCTCACCCAATGGCTGAAGGGAACTAGTCTGGGCTCTCTGTCTTTAGTTGGGATAACTAAGAGCAGCATTAACCCGTGCAGTAGCAGCTGGTTCTGACTGCCACTTCTACTCCTTCTACTTCTCTATAATTGCTTCATTCTTGGCTACCAATATTCCCTTGGAAGGTCTCATGAATACTGTATTTTTATGCAAAACTGAAGCTTTTAGACTTTTATGTTTAGGGTATCTAGACAATTAACATCATATTCTACTCTCCTAACCATTTATCCAAAATTATTTTAGAAAACTATTTGATAATGAATATTTTCAGATATCTTGGTGGTCAAAGAAAATTAGACAAAACAAAACAGGGTGTTAGACTTTAGAACTTCTATTATCTGATATTGTCAGTGTTTTCAAAAACAAACAAAGGCATATTTTCATTTAAGAATATGAAGCTAAAAATATCCAACTTCAGTTAGGAAAAAAAAGTTATTTAAAACTTGAAAACTGAAAATGATATCTCATTTTAAAATTTGTTATTATTTACAATTTGGTAAATGAAAGTAGTATCTTTGAAAATTATAATTTGATTTAATGTTCTCATTATAAAGTATGATATTAACATTCATGATTAATAAAAAAATGGTATCTCATTCATTGATAAACTGATTAAAGGGCCTGGGAGATAGGTCAGTGGCAAAAGTGTCTGCCTGGCAAGCTCAAGGTCCCAAGTTTGATCCCTGGTACCGCCAAAAAACAAACAAACAAAAACTGATTAAGCATTGTGCCCCATGTATGTGAGGTGTAGCTGAGCTCTCTTAAATATCCATTAACAGGGACAATGAAAAAAGTGAAAGAGGAGGATTTGGAGGAGGCAACCATCAATGTGTCCGCAGTTTCTTTTCACCAGCAGGACAAGGGGCTCTGTCACTCTCTAATGGTATAGTACTCATAAAGCCAATTCTAATTAGCTTCAGTATTCATAAAATACAGATACAAATATCAACAGAGTATTAAAATAGATATAAAACACTGCACCTAATGGGATCCAATAAAAATCGAGGAAATATAGAAGATACACTCAATTTACAATTTCTTAAGATATTTTAAGGTCATTAAGAAAACATTTTTGTTTACTGCATGATGTTTATAAAAACTATGACCTCTATTGTATAGGTACTTACTGTAAATATTTATCAAACATGAAATTTATTTTCATGTACAATGTTTTAGTATGTGTATTTAAATTGGCTTGTTTTATTTTTTCATCTAATATTTTCAAAATTATCTTTTTTCTCTGAATTCCTGAAACTTCATAAATATTGAAACTATTTCTTTAGAAATGAAATATTTTGAACCTATATGCTCTCTTAAAGTCTTTACTACATTTTAGAGGGGGAAAAGTCATCTAATTAGTTTGTCTCTATTTATCTTCAGTGATATTTTATTTGCAAATATTTTCTTTTGTCCTAGAATATGTGGGAAGCACAGGCACATCTCTTTCAAATAATTTGTAGAATTCATAATTTCTAGTGGGCCAAAAGGTCTCCCTGAAGACTGACTCAACTTTGATTTTGAAATTCACTCTCCTGTAAGCTTCTCCTTGAGCCAATAGGCCTCACTTTTGTTCATCTCTTCCTTTAATTCTTTTTTTTTTTTTTTTTTTTTTTTGGAACGGGGGATTGATCTCAGATCCTTGCGTTTGCCAGTCAAGCGCTTATCCTACTGAGCCAACTCCCCGGCCCCTCCTTTAATTCTTTTCTTATTTCAGTTTCATGCCATTGTCTGCTTTGGACACCATAATGGATTGCTAGTCTAATAAATGATGCTGAAATAACTGGATCTTTATATGCTGAAGACTAGAACTAGACTTGTGACTATCATTACACAGTAAACTAAAGTAAAAATGGATCCAAGATCTAAATATTAAGACAGAAACACAAAATCATGAAGAGAAAGGAGGTAGAATTCTTGAAGATATAGGTGTAGGCAAAAAGTTCATGAGCAAAATTCGAGCTGTCTGAGAAACACTTCCAGTAATCCACAGGGAGGACTTTATTTTATTAAAAAAATTCATATAAACAAGATCAATAATAAAGTGAAAAGATAACACATAAATTGGGAAAAAATTAGACAGTTGTCCCTCTGATATATAAAGAATTAGAAAAAAAATGAGATCAACCAAATTCAAAGACTTAACCCAAAAATGGATATCTGAGATACATACACACTTCGCAAATGAACAGATACAAATGGTAAATAAATATATGAAAAAATGTTCAGCATCATTAGTTATTCAAGAGATGAAAAATAAAATTCTGACATTCCATCTCACTCCAGAAAGAATTGCTATGATCAAGAAATAAACCAATGACAAGTGATGGAAGGGCCAATGGGAAAGGGATGCATTGCAACAGTTGGTGCGAGTGAACCTTGGTGCAACCTCTGTGGAAATCTGTGTGGATAGTCCTGAAAATGCTAGGACTAGAGGTCAGTCCCAATTGACACAAATATTACTTTTTCTAGTTAACTTCCTAAAATAATTAAAACGTCATACCACAGTGATAATTACATGCACCAATGTTTATAGCAACACAATTTGTAATAACTAAATCCTGGAAATAACACAAATGTTTGTAAACTAAGGAATGCATGATATTCTTATAAAATGGAGTACTATTCAGTCAAAAAGAAGGATAAACTTAAGACTTTTACAGGTAAATGAATGCAACTTGATATCATACCAACTGAAATAAAGCAGGTTCACATCTCAACAGTATATTGTCTCCCTGGATTCATAAACTCAAAGAGTAAATAAATTCTAAAATGTGCAGTAGATAATTTTGAAATTGGAAGAAATTATTAAAAAATAAAAAGGAGTACTTGCTTCGGCAGCACATATACTAAAATTGGAACGATACAGAGAAGAAAAGCATGGCCTAGGTGCAAAGAAGACATTCAAATTCGTGAAGCAATCCATATTTTTATGACAAAGACAACACTACACATACTACTGAAAGATGTTCTAGAGGGAGACCAAAATGAACAGAACTCCACAAATGAGATCAGAAGGAAGCAAGTAAATAGGGCAAGCAATTAAACACAGGAAAAAAAGGAGTAAACCACAACAGGCACATAACATGTCAAACGTAAGTCTATATATCTCAATACTAACGATCAATGTAAATGAACTCAATTCACCAACTAAGAGAAATAGACTGGCACAGTGGATTAGGAAACAAAATCCAACAATATGCTATATACAAGAAACACATGTAACTCATAAAGACATTCATAGGCTAAAAGTCAAAGGATAGAACACAACATTACATGCCCGAGCACATCAGAAAAAAGCAGGGTTAGCAATCCTATTCTCAGACAGTCTCAACTTCAAACCAAGAATAATCAAGTGAAATAAAGAAGGCCACTATATACTGGTTAGGGAAAAATTCAAGAGGAAGAGGTCGCACTCATAAATGTGTATGCACCAAACACAGGAGCACCAAACTATATAAAGCAAATCTTAATGGACATGACAAATCTAATATCCAATACCACAATCTTAACAAGAGACCTTAACACCCCCTAATCCCCAAAAGATAGAACAAGCAGACAAAAACTTAGCAAATAAATAACAGAATGGAACCAGAACTTGAAACAAATGGAATTGGTGGACATATACAGAGTGTTCCACACAAGCACAGTTGAATACACATTTTTCTCAGCTGCACATGAGTCATTTTTGAAAATGGACCACATACTGGTCCATAGGTCATGCTTAAGTATATGCAAGAAAACAGAAATTATCCCATGCACATTATCTGACCACAGTGAAATGAAACTGAAAATAAACGACAAAAGAAACCAGAAAAAAATTCCTAAATACATGGAAATTAAATGACACCGTACTCAGCAACCAATGGGTCACTGATGAAATTAAACAAGAAATTCAACAATGTCTACAATTTAATGAAAATTCAAGCAAGACATGTTGTAATTCATGGATTATGATGAAAGAAGTTCTCAGAGGAAAATGCATAGCTTTGAACTCACAAACTAGGAAAACAATATGGGAACAAATAAATACCCTAATGCTGCACCTTCAACAACTACAAAAGGAAGAACAAACCAAACCCAGAGCACAAAGACAGCAAGAAATAATAAAGATTAGAGAAGAAATTAATTCAATTGAGACAAAGAAGACAATTCAAAGAATTAATGAAACAAAAACCTGGTTCTTTGAAAAATTAAATAAAATTGATAAACCCCTAGCTATCCTCATCAAAAAGAGGGAAGAAAAAATTCAAATATAAGCAATAAGGAATGAAAAGGTATAATTACCAGAGATCCAGGGAAATTCAGAAGATAGTCAATAGCTGCTTCGAGAATCTTTACTCTCAAAGAATAGAAGACACAAAAGAAATAGACAGATTCCTAGAAAGGTACAAATTACTACAACTGAATAGACAAGATATAACCACTCTCAATACCCAATAACAGCCAATGAAATACGAGATGGAATGAACAACCTACCCACAAAGAAAAGTGCAGGTCCGGATGGATTCACAGCAGAATACTACAAGATATTTACAGAAGATACAGTCCCTATATTCCTGAAATTCTTAGATGAAATAGAAAAGGAAGCAATCCTCTCAAAATCATTCCTGGAGGCAAGTATTACACTGATATCAAAACCAGGGAAAGACACAACTAAGAAAGAGAATCACAGGCTGATCTCCCTCATAAACATAGATGCCAAAATCCTCAATAAAATCCTATCAAATAGAATACAGCAAATCATCGAGAAGATCATACACCATGAACAGGTGGGATTCATCCCAGTGATGCAAGGATGGTTCAATATTCAAAAATCCATAAATGAATAACACTACATCAGTAAAGCAAAAACTAAAAACCACATGATCATTTCCATTGATGCAGAAAAGGCTTTTGACAAAGCGCAACACTCATTCATTTTCAAAGTCATACAGAAAATTGGAGTAGATGGTCTTTACTTCAATCTGATAAAAGCCATTTATGAAAATAAAATAGCTAGCATAATCCTAAATGGGGAAAAACTGAAATCTTTTACTCTTAGATCTGGTACAAAACAAGGATACCGTCTATTACCACTCTTATTCAATATAGTTCTGGACTATTTAGCTACAGTAACTAAAAAAGGGAAAGAAATAAAACTAATAAGAATAGGTAAAGAAGAAATTAAATTACCATTATTTACAGATGACATGATACTTTACATGGAAGATCCAAAAAACTCCACAAAGAAGCTACTAGAATTAATACAGAAATTCAGTAGCATAGCAGGTTATAAAGTCAATGCCTAAAAGTCAATAGCATTCCTCTACACAGATAACAAACACACTGAGAGGGAAATTATAGAAATAATACCTTTTACAATAGCACCAAGGAAAATGAAATACCTTGGAATTAATCTAACTAAAGAAGTCAAATATCTTTACAAGGAAAATTACACTACTCTGAAAAAAGGGATTGTAGAGGATTTCAGAAAATGGAAAGATATTCCATGCTCCTGGATAGGAAGAACCAATATTGTGAACATGGCCATACTCCCAAAATTGCTGTGCAGATTTAATGCAATCCCTACCAAACGACCACAAACATACCTCACAGAGCTAGAGAAATCACTCTTAAAATTTATTTGGAACCAGAAAGGCCTAAAATAGCAAAAGCAATCCTGGGCAATAAAGAGAAGGCAGGAGGCATTACAATTCCTGACTTGAAATTGTATTCCAAGGCTACTGCGATAAAATCAGCATGGTACAGGCAAAAAATAGACCGGAGGATCAATGGAATAGATTAGAAGACGCTGAATCACCTACGAACACACTCAGCAAAGTTATCTTTGACAAAGGGGCCAAACATACTCACTGGAAGAAAGATAGCCTCTTTAACAAATGGTACTGGAAAAAGTGGCTCTCTACATGCCAAAAACTCAAACTTGACCCAGATCTATCACCATGCACTATGCTAAAGTCAAAATGGATTAAAGATCTAAAAATTAAAGAAGAGACACTGAATCTCCTGGAAGAGAAAGTAGGAGAAACTCTTGAGGCTTAAAAAAAAAAAAGAAAGAAATTAGGAGAAACTCTTGAAGACATAGGGGTGGGCAAAGAATTCATAAACAAATCAAATTTCATGGGAAATACTTGAAAGAATTAACAACTAGAATCTGCTCTTAATGAGAAGTTTTTCACGTCAAAAGAAATTACTAAAAAAGTGAAAAGGCAACCTAAAAATTTGGATAAAATCATGACAAATAAGTACTCAGTCAAAGGTATGCTCTATAGAATTTATAAAGAACTAAAAAACACTAGGGCACCAAAATTGAAAGACCCAATCCAGAAATGGGCATCTGAGAGGAATACATGCTTCACAGAGGATGAAATTAAAGAAGCAAATAAATATATGAAAAAATGCTCCACATTACTTGCCATCTGCAAAATGCAAATTAAAACAACATTGAGATATCCTCTCACCCCAGAAAGAATGGCTATCATAAAGGAATCACCCAATAACAAATGTTGCAGAGGCTGTGGGGAAGAGGAACCCTTCTGCAGTGATGGTAGTAATGTAGACTCATGCAACTGTTATGGAAATCAGTATGGAGACTCCTTAGAACAGTTGGACTGGAAATCCCATTTCAACCAGCTTTTCCTCTACTTGGAATTTTCCCAGAGGATCTGAAAACATCATATCATAGTGATATATGTGTGCCTATGTTTAGAGCAGCACAATTTGTGATAGCCAAATCTTGGAAATAACCAAGATGCCCATCACCTGAGGAATGGTTGAAAAAGATGTGGTATTTTTACACAATGGA